AATAAATTTTCCGCAAGCCTCTCTTGTGGTTGACTTATACCCTCGTTACAAGTTCTTAATGTTAACTGCAACACTTTTCCACTGCTACACTTTCCACTTTAATGTAGTTTTAACTTTTAAGTACAGTAAGATACATGTGTCAGTAAACCGTTGTACTGCATCACATCTTAGTAAAAAATATTTTTTGCATGTTGAGAGATTGTAATTATCACGTAAATGTGCTTAAATATTTTAAACAAATGGCACTTAAATGTTCCTGGTTTTCAGATTAAAATCAGTAGACCAGTTCTTTACTCGTTGCTTCACTTTGGGGGGAAACGTTGAATATAAATCTCAGCTGTTTGCAATATTCTGACAAGAAAGCGTTGACATTTTGGCATTTTTATGCACAAAGTATGAATAGAATGAATGAAAATTCATAGTGAACATTTTCTTTTCTGTTTTATACCTGACTTTTTGGAGGATTTGGGTAAATGAGCACAATCTTTAATGCTACACACTTTTTTCTTTTGGGACAAATTGGGTTTGTCTCAGAATACTGTTTCATGATTCATTTCAATCTGCAGATTTCCTACACTTCCATGTCTAATTGCTCCCTAAACAATCCATAGAACATTCCCATCATGTCCCTCCTTGCACATGTTAACTGTCCACAAACAGCACGTCCGCCCTCCGGCTCCCGTCCAGAGATGTTCCTCTCCACCCCCTCCAGAGCCCCTCCAGCTTTGTCACTGCACATCTTTGCACTCAGCAGGGACTCCTGCCCCAGTGGACCCTGCACGGCCCCATACCAGCTCCTGCATTGATGCAGTGCAGCTGTTTCCAAATCCAGCCCTTGATTTTGATCCTCTTCCTTTTTTTTAACGTGCCGTCTCCGAGGACACTTCTGACCTGGTGGTCCTTTGTGGCTGTCTAATAATTTAGTTGTTCCCGGATCATCCGCAGACGGAGGTTGAGAGGCACAATTATTATTAATAAAGGCCATTTTTGGACACCTTTTGTCCTTCAGGGTTTATTTTATGCTGCAGCATTTGAACCCTCGTCCTCATAAACAGCCATTTAGAGTAGAATACAATACTAATTAATTTAAATGTACAGGAGGAAGTGAGAAAATATGAAGCTCAGTGTTGTACAGATTGTAAAGCCCTATGAGCAACAACTCCTCTCTCAACAAAATAATACACATTAGATTTTCCACTTCTTTGTTAATTTGCACACATGATATTTAAACTCAGATTCTTTTAAATGGTTATACTGCAGCTTCTGTAGTGGCAGAAAGTACATTTACTCAACTACTGTACTTGTAATTAACTTGAGTATTTATATTTCCTCCTCCTTAATACTTTTACACTATTAAAAATCTGACGCAAATGTACTTTTTGCTCTACTACATTTTTTCTTGATTTTCATTCATGTTATACTTACAAAATATATAATCATCTTTTAAAATATGATGCATTGTTATAGATTAAACAGCAGGAAACAGATAAAATGAGTTCAATTCTTGACTAACATTAAAATACTACCAGCAACAATAAACCAATAATATAACATAATGGAATCCACAGTAAGTACTTTTACTTGTGACACTTTTTATTTGATAATACCGTAAATACAATTTTAAATGCAGAACTTATCTTTGTAATAGAGTATATTGTATATTGTCCTTCTTTTACCTCAGAAACAGATCTGTTCTTGCACCACTGAGGTCCATTCACTCCTGAATAACTGTTTGTAGCAGTGAATGTTTCCCTGATTGATCCTTATTGATCTGTTATGAATGTCTGTACATAAATGTACTCTTTTTGTTTCAGTGGCAATACCACAGTGTAGAAGAGACATGCATTCACATATTTACTTACATCAAAGTACAAAAGTATTAGCATCAAAATATACTAATATACATACAATACGATATACTAAGTATTGGATTATACTTTATAATTATTGTTGCATTAATATGTACATCACTAATGTTGCTGCTGGTAAAAGTGGAGCTCCTTCTATAATCTCTAACATCACATCATCATTTAGTAGTTTATTATATTTTATATTAATAATTTGAATTGGCAAAGTAACTAAAGCTGTCAGATAAATACAGTGAAGTGAAAGTAGAATTACTTATAGTATAGGTACCCCAAAAGGCACAGGAATTGAATAAAATCAATTGATATTATTGAATAATAAAGTACTTAGTTATTCAACTATAATCTATCCAAACTATAATGACTCTAAAGCATGCAGAGTGTGTCGTTTTTGTACCACATTGGGTCATAATGTTTTAATTATTGCTGCAGTGTCCGAGGACTTGAAATAGAGGATGAATCCACTTTTCCAAAATTGGGGCTCAACCATTTAAAAACAGTTTCTCTTGCTTTGTAAATCAAACACACCCTTCCAGCTCCTCCACAGCAAGCAGGTGTCCTGACTCCCCTCTTGTCCTGTCCAACAGGGGCGGGAGGGGGAGGGTGGCGGTAAGAGCTCTTTTACGGGTGGAGGGTGGAGGGGGGGTGAGGAAGGGACTGCACCTCTCTCACCTTTGCAACTCATGAGCCGATCTTCAGTATCCTCCACACTGTGGCAGCTACCTTAATCTGTTTTTAATGACCCTGCGGAGGATCCCCGGAGACTCTCCAGTCCTTTTCTCCCAGCTGGTTGGACGGCAGTATGCACGCGTGTGTGTGTGTGTGGTGTGAGAGAGAGAAGAGAAGAAGAGAGAGAGAGAAGAGAGAGATGAGAGAGGGAGGAGTGTGTGTTGTTGTGTGTGTGTGTGTGTGTGTGTGCAGCAGGCCTGAAATCTGAGGCCGTCAGCGTGTGTTTTAATGGGACTTATTTTTTTTTAGCAAGATAAAAATTTCATTGGGATACATTCTTATTTCTAAGGCGCAAACTACCCCCGGCCTACATCAAGAAAAATTGCAACTTTTCAAGCAACTTTTAATATTCTTATTCTGTTTTATAACTTTCTGTTATTTTACTATTAAAGTTTAAATGTTCACATGTATTATTTTAAGTCTATTTTCTGCGCTTTTTTCCTTCAGGCTATTGGTTTCTCTTTTGATGAGCGTAAACTCTGCTATTTATCCCCAAACAAACGCTTTTCTTTGATAGGTTTCCCACCAGCTCTTTGAAATAAAACAATTACCGCATTCTTTGTGCAATAATTGTCAATCATCCACATTAAATTGATAAGCTTTAAATGGACAGAATAATAGCTTAAATTGTTTTACAATGGAACAGCTAAGCAGGATGATTTGCTATTGCTGACATGCCCGCGGCTTTACCAGCTCCACATAATGCCATAGGTTAATGCATAAATAAGCAAATCAAATCCATGCGTTACCCCAATTCAATTCATTTAATTCCTCTTTAATAAAGAAGCGGCCCCACCCCCCTGTCCCCGCCATTTACCTCGGATTTGTGCGATGAATGCTATAAATGTAAATCAATCTAGATGAGAAAGAATCCCATTGAAAGAGCAGAGAAATTTCATCTGGGAAAAGGAGACAAATGTAGGAGGGGCCCGCTCATAAAAAGCAGCTGTTTCACAGTAATCTTTTTTCGTGCCCTGTCACTCACCTTGCCTTTTCACTATCTCTGCAGCTCAAAAAAAAAAAAACTCTGAATCTATTGTATTTAGTTGCCATATCTTCTTTACCCATTACATTGCCATATTCGTCCAAGGAGAGAGAGAGAGAGAAAGAGAGAGAGAGCACAACTTGCCCATTTTTTCGGACAATCCCCTTGTAGTTGCTGGAGTGAAAAGAGGAGTGCATGGATGTCAAATTGCCCTCAAAACACCATGAAAGATTGATTTGCAGCACTTTTCAGGGCCCTGACATTACTTGGAGGGGAGCTGAATAGGAAACCTGTGAGCCGGGGATGGAATAAAGATGTCCTCTCTGCTGGAAAAGAAGGAAAACTGCCCATTTAGCCCCAGTCCATCAAGCCCGAAAAATAGGCAAGAGAGGAAAAAACACAGAGGACTGTGACTATAGAGAAGAAAAGGCTCGTATATACTCATCTAAACGTTGTCACAATACCGAGGGGGCTCCAGAACAGCCATGAATATTAAACCGCTTACCTCAACAAGGGCTTGAAAAAGTGAACCACGTCAAAGCAGCTTTGCATTTTTTGCATGCGAACAATGCTGTAAAAAAAGAAGAAAAAAAAGCCACGTCGAGTTTGTTTCCATTCTTGTTATTCCCGCGCTAAACTGCGCACAAAAAAAAATAATATTACCACCGCATGAATACGAAATGCCTGAGAAAAAAATCTGCGAGCAACTCCCAGACTCAATGACCCAATTCTGTGAAAAGTCCATTAAAACTGCACAAATGTTCTCTTTGATTCCCCTTTCTCATCTTGTTGCGTTGTTTTTATTTACGCATCATTTTAAAGAGTATATTGTTTTTCTATTCATATGAGTGCAGCCCATAAATTATTTGCGCTACAATCTATTATTTTTTTGCGCCCCTCCACAGACTTTTTACGCACTTTGAACTCTCCATTCTGCAGCTTTTCGATCTTAAAAAAAACATTTTAGAAATGCATTCAGCCAGTCAAGATGCTTGTGCAGCTTTGCGCATAAATGTTGCATGATTTTTAATGTTCAACTTGAGTGCAGATAATTACTAAAATAAAGTTTAAGCCACTCTTCTCCTTCTCTCTCTCTCTCTC